CTCTTTCTCTCTCTCTCTCTCTCTCTCTCTCTCTCTCTCTCTCTCTTTCGCCTTCTCTCTTCGCGCTCCTCCCGCCCCTCGCGTCCCGAAGACGCGTCGAGTTGGTTCGAGAAAATGCGTTGTATTTCGATCGGCGATGATTGCCCGTTGTATCGAGGAAGAGAGAATTTAACTTACAGTCGGCCTGTCGCCTGTTGCAATCTATGTCAGGAGTAACAAGCGCCGCGAGAGAATTCGCGGATTCTCCGGAGATACTTAAATTCGTTGACTGAGTCGAAGCTTAATAGAAAATTTGCTCTCGTGCAAACGGCGCGATCTTCATCGTTTTCTTAAATGGAGCATTTACATGAATCAATGGAGTTAGTCACCTTAGTATGTCACGGTTAATTAGTGGCATTTACTAATATATCTCGACCGCGTTATCTCTCCGACTTTGTCTTACGTATAACTGAAATATATCTGGATAACCTTATGCATATTGTTGCTCGTTATTCGCATAGATTTTCGAAATGTTCGAGATTAACAGGATTAGAAACAAGCGATCCACGCTTCGTCCTCCCGTTTCGTGTAATCTAAGTAGGACCTTGTCGGAAGGGGACATAACGGGCTCGCGAACGACGAACCCGGACGGGCCACGTATTAATATAAGCTTGGCGTGACTAATACAACAATTTATCCAGCTGCGGGCATTTAAATAGTTATGACCTAGGTCGCTGGCAACGAGGCGACGAGCGGCGATTTCGTCACGCGCTAACTCGCGCGAATTGAATTCGCCTCGGCGCTTTCGTGAATTAACTCCCTCGTGTCGCCCACGCGGCCCTCACCGATCGCCGCCTGGTCTCCGTTTCTCTCCTTTTCTCCGGTCCCAGTATTCTTTTCGATCACTCGTCAAACAATCGGTACAGCTTTACGAGACGCATCGTCGACGGCTTTGCGAAGTCAACCTCGCTACCCTCTTAATCCAATAATTATGATAATGTGGCGGCAGACTCGGATAAGATCGGAGCGTAATAGAGTTAAAATTATTACGGACCGTTCGCACAACATCAGTTGGATTTAACGGGAATTTAACTAATTATCCGTAGACAAAATTAGAACGGGAGATAGAATTAGCTAAAACTCAGTTAGCCAGTTCAGTATGTTATTGAATTATTTATGGAAATTATTACCTATAATATTAATATGTTCAACAAAAGATAAATTAAGATTGCTATTTCTCGCGGGTTAAACGATTCCTGTTTTTTCGCGTACGTCGATGATAAAAAGCGGCGAAATTTTGTGAACAAACGAAAATTCGATTCATTTATTATTCCGCTATTTTTTGGTGTCCTGCCGACGGAAAGAAGCCCGCAGCGGCAAACGGACTGCGCCCTTCTGTTTTCCGTCCTGCGTAGGGGTGCCCGCGGGGTGTCCACCCTCGAAGCAGGACGTTTGGCACTCCACACATACACACAGCCCTCTTTTTAATTGTTATATTTATAAGGGGTTGTCTCGGGCGCCGCACACATGGCGGTTCCTCAGCTCCGGGGCTGGAGAACTCGGTTGTTTTTGGACATAGGTATTGGACAGACGTGCCCTTCTTTTCACCCTTCTTCCCGTTCTCCCTTGTAAATCGATACTCGCTCGTGAGGCTCGAACTCTTCGCGCAATTGGGTGACGAAGAGCAGAGAGATGAGCTTTATATAGGTATATGTACAATGTAAGAAGAATGGGAGCAGCTTCAAAGTATTTTAAATCCTATATTTTTTCATAATGTTTGTTACGAAAATATTTCTGGTAAAGAAAATTTAAAGTCACAGGTTTTGAAATAAATTCTAGTTTCAATTAACGAGTAAAGCTATGTAATAAAATATAATTGTAATAAAAGACTAACGGATTTTCGATTTCGATTCGTCGTTGAAAGAAATATCTTACAAAAATTAAAAATGTTTAACTACATAGATTCGTTATCTTTCCAAAATTGCTAATACGAAAACTGCGTAATTTTCAATATTTTTCAATTTAATCGTGTTGTCGATGAAAGAAACTTGAAATATATTTAATAGAAAGGAACTTCTTGGCTTATTTGTCACTCTCAACAAAGCCGTTCTTCACACGATATTCTCTTACGATATTTCGCGACGTCGTACTATCATCCGTACGTCCGTACTGTCCGGTCAACGCATCCGGTCAAGCGGTAACAGGAGACCACGCGGCGGAGCTGGCGAACGCTGGGAAGATCGCGCGGATAGACGAAGCGAGCGAAGAGGCGAGGGAGCGCGGCAAGGAGAGAGAGAGAGAGAGAGAGAGAGAGGAAGGAACGGGTGGATGGGGCGAATATTGGACAACTAATTACCTAATCACTCATTATCCACCGCGGACTCCGGGCGCCGGTAGTTCGGCGCGCCAGGTACGTAGATAGAGGTGGAACGGGCTTGCCCGGAGGGCCATTGTGATACACGAAGCAGAATCATGCACGATCGTATATTATCGATGAGAGGACGGGGGGGATGGGAGGACGGTGAAACGGCACAGCGGCCATCCCTAAAATCCTCCCCCCGACCCCCCCTGACCCCCGCGCTGACCCCCTGTCTCCCGCGCCGCACGAGAGTGTACCGAGGGCTCGCGTTTAATGTTAGCACGGAATCGGAGCCAATGACGGGGCGGAATCGCGATGCGGAAACGACGCTTCCTTTCTCGCACCTCGCACGAGCCTGCCCCGGCATTACCGGAATATCCCCCTCTTCATCGCGCCCTTCCGACTCGCTCAGAGAGCTCTCTCTTCCCCGTCTCTCGCTCTCTTCCTCGCTCTTTCTCCGTCGTGTCTTCGATTATACTGCTATTTTCGACCGTGGATGACGTCTGGAATAGATAACGGTTATCACTAATGGATCAAGCCGCTTCTAATACTGTTCCGGGGCGATAGTCTGCCCGCTTATCGCATTCTCAACAATGTTTCGGGAGTATCTTGATGAAGAAAGACAGACGAACTTGTCTTTCTTTATCGCGATTCTGTAGCTTTTTCAATTACGGGCGATTAGAAATTTAGAGCGAATTAAGATTAAGAGCAGCAAAGAAAATGGATAAAATCTTACGCTTTCACGACTGAACATGGCCTCAGAAAAATTTTAATTTAACAACGAATCGCAGAGATGATTAATGTTGGAATTTAAAAAGCGCCGAAAGACACGGCATCCAATCAAATTTTCTCTCAAGAAACTATCCAGGTATTTCGAAAGAAGATCCGTTGGAAGGGAAAGGAAGGAGAAGGCGATACATACGTAGAAATTTATCAATATGGCTCGTATTTCTGACGACGCGTTCCGTCTATTTCCGCGGCTGTCACATTGGGAAAGTAATAGCTCTTCATTAAAAATTCAGCCTTCCCCTTCCTCCCGCTTTCTCTCTCTGTCTCCCTCTGATGTCCGTCTCGAAAATAACCGGCTCGTTTTGAATTCGTATTTTTTTCCACGTCGTTTTTAATTCGATGTAACGTAACGATCCGCCGATCCGCGAATGATTGTCGCGAAGTCGCCTTAAACGTTTATAACGACTCATTTAAATCGGCAGCTATCCCTGTCACGAGGGAGATATTAATCGCCCGCCGAACACGCTTCGTGCAGATGTAATCGCGGAACGAAAATATATATCCTACTCGCAGCATTTTATACCATTTCGAGCATTAATAAGAAATAAAAATATTCTTTCTCGAATATC